GCTTGAAATAGTATGTTTACACAGTTGGACTGTGTACTCTGTTTGTTGACCATAGAGGTTCGCTTTCTTTTCCCGTCCCTAAAAATAGGCTCAATCTCTGTCCTCCTTACACATTCCCACTTATCTTGTATGCATTCTGAGTTTGGCAGCGATCAGTGAAGTTCACTGTACGCTGTACAATTATGATAATGAAGATTATGACTGCGGATAGTCCTTGGAATATAGTTTATATCATATCCTGTGGAATATGAATAAAGGCACGAGTATTCACAGTTGTGGGTGAACTGATTCTAATGTGTCTATTTAGGTGTTTCAAATGTATGAAGGTCAAGTAGTTTGCAAAGGAGTGAATATACAATGGTCTAGGAGCAATGATCAACGTTTTCTAAACAGCACCCAGTACATCGGCTACGACTCTGGATGGTAGTCAAACAGAGGAAGGGTAATAATAGTACGAAACTGAGTGACTGGCATGGTGAATTTCTTTCAAAAACGCTTATGTCTTTAGACTACTGATCGTTCCGTGTAGAAGAATTACCTAATGCATTTGCGGATTAGATGATGTTGTTCGCGCAGAATAAACATTGCAGAGCGCGTATTCTGTGTAGTGCCGTGAACCAGAGTTCTATTGTTCTTGTTGGACAATTCGAAGACGAGTCATCACTAATTACTCAGTTGCTCCCTCAGTAATCGCGGCGAATAAAATGGCCTGCGAATGCCTCTTTTTCAGGTCACTTGATCACAAAATAAAAAAAATAGCAACAGTGGTTGTAAATGTGAGCACCGGAGGATTTGATTTATCAAAGATTAAAAGATTTATTATGGGATTAACTTACAAGCTCATGCTTTTCTGGTCCCATAGGTTCATGCGGTGGAGTAAGAAACAGTGATACATACAGTTCTTTGTGTAAAATGTCACGTGGAACGTGCTTTTTCCACTACTGCACGCAGCTTCATTTATGTTGGAATGTAAGGTGTGCTAATGTTTCGTCGAGCCTCAGTTTGGAAGACTCAATGCTTGGAGCACAGACGACGTAGGATGGTAGAGAGTTCCACACACTCGACTGCGAATGACTGACGCCGGCATTCCAAGCGGCATTTTGAGGTCACTAGTTTAAATGGTTGTCGTCTAAGATGAACGTTAGGTGATAATTTCAGAAGCGGGCGACACGGATGGCTTGGGTTTTGCATTATTTGGTGTACCATAATCATATCTCCTCTGATGCGCCGGTAGTGATTGGAATATA